CAGAGGAGGGCTTTTGGTGAGAGGATTTGCCGTCTATTTACAAAAAGGAAGAGAAGGTTAGGCGGAGAGATTTTAGGCTTTCTCTGCCAAAGGGGCACCTAAGACCATCAGAAATAGACCCCTCCAAAAAGCCCTCATGACCCCTCCCAAGGGTCCCGACCCCCAGGTTGAGAAACACTGTTCTAGTGCAAATCTGGAGGCTTCCAAATCTACAATTCTGAATTTGGTCTCTAACTGCCAAGCAGTGCTTCTTGAAGATACAGAGAGGTTTATCATGCCCTCGAGGCTGTCTGGTGCTGCAGCTTTGCGCAGATTATGATAAATAAAATATCTAGCAGCCATGTGGGCAGTTCCTTTAAGAAGAACATCTGTTCCCATTATATTTGTTTATGGCGCTCACATGTTTGTGTTAAGTGCCTGGCCAATGGAGGGTGAGTGGGTTAGCTTGTCCCTTCACCTAATCGGGAAGTAATCATTGGAGTCTTTAATGTATTCTGGGCTCACTCAGATCTCATGAGGATGCGGAAATTCCCTGCTGGGACTAGCGGTTTAGGAATTAACGTCTTGAAAGCAGACCCATACTTATCTTCCTGTCCAGATGATACCCATGTATGAAGAACCCATTACATTGGTTCTCAGCTCATGGGCTTTTTTTTCTTTATGCATAACTGAAAGAGCCAAGGAAAGGCAATTTGGCGCTCTCTGATAAATGTGCAGAAACTGCCTTCAAGCAGTTATTGCCTAATGTTGCCTTTCCAGATAAGTGAAGCTGTTCCTTAGCAAAATGATCCACAATCTTTTGGGCACTGAAGGTTGCTTGGAGTGTTGACTGTAGAGATGCATATACATGCATACAAATATACACTCCAGCACACAGGTATAGGGGCCTTAAGCGTCTCCTTTTCTACCTGATAAGATTTTGGGATTGCTGGTTTAGGAGGAAATGGAGTAGAACTTCTTCTATTAACCAGAAATCTTCACTGGAAAACCTGTTCTAGGAACTTAGAGACCTGTGTCTTCTTTGCTTTTCTCTTCCCTTGTTTTACTCACCTTCAGTAAAAGAAAGGCAACTTGGTAAAAAGTAGCGTAGCTAATTTATACCTTGTATGAAGTTGGGTTTGTACTTTATACAAGCTGAGTTTTGAAAAGGCAGAAGAACAAGCGATCAAATTACCAATCTCCTCTGGATAATGGAGGAGGGTAGGGAGTTTCAGAAAAACATCTATTTCTATTTTATTAATTATTCTAAAGCCTTTGAATGTGTGGATCATAATAAATTGTGGCAAGTTCTTGATGTATGGACATACCAAGTCACCTTGTCTGTCTCCTGAGGAATCTGTATAACGACAATGTAGCAACAGTAAGAACGGACCACAGAACAACAGAGTGGTTCAAGAGTGGGAAAAGAGTATGGCAGGGCTGTATGCTCTCACCCTACCTATTCAACTTGTATACAGAACACATCATGCAACATGTGGGACTTGAAGAACCCATGGCTTGAGTTAAAATTGCTCGGAGAAACATTTAGGTATGCAGATGATACCACTTTGATGGCTGAAAGCGAGGAGGAGCTGAGGAGCCTTATAAGCAAGGTGAAAGAAGAAAGTGGGTCGCAGTTAAACATCAAAATTATGAGAATAGACTGAGTAATAACTGGCAAATAGAGGAAGAAAACATGGAAGCAGGGACAGATTTTGTATATCTAGGCGCAAAGATTACTCCAGACGTAGACTGCCAACAGGAAATCAGAAGACATTTACTTCTTGGGAGAAGAGCAATGACCAATCTCAATATAATAGTGAAGAGTAGGGACATCACACTGCCAACGAAGGTCCATATAGTTAAAGCAATGGTATTCCCCGTAGTAAGCTATGCATGTGGAGCCCCCAGTGGCGCAGTGGGTTAAACCCCTGTGCCAGCAGGACTTAAGACTGACAGGTCGCAGGTTCGAATCCGGGGAGAGGCGGATGAGCTCCCTCTATCAACTCCAGCTCCTCATGCGGGGACATGAGAGAAGCCTCCCACAAGGATGATAAAAACATCAAATCATCCGGGCGTCCCCTGGGCAACGTCCTTGCAGATGGTCAATTCTCTCACACCAGAAGTGACTTGCAGTTTCTCAAGTCGCTCCTGACACAACAAAAAAAAGCTATGGATGCAAGAGCTGGACCGTAAGGAAGGCTGAGCGAAGAAAGATAGATGCTTTTGAACTGTGGTGCTGGAGGAAAATTCTGAGAGTGCCTTGGACCGCAAAAAGATCAAACCAGTCTATACTCCAGCTAATAATACCTGTCTGTTCACTGCAGGGAAGGGAATTAGAGGCAAAGATGAAGTACTTTGGCTACATAACATGAAAACTTGGAGAAGACAATGATGGTGGGAAAAATTGAAGAAAGGAAGAGGGGCCAACCAAGGGCAAGATGGATGGATGGTATCCTTGAAGGGACTGGCTTGACCTTGAAGGAGCTGGGGATGGTGATGGCTGACAGGGAGCTCTGTCGTGGCCTGGTCTATGAGGTCATAAAGAGTCGGAAGCAACTGAACAAATAAACAACAACAACATAACTAATTTAAGTAGTAACTTACTGGAGTATCATTGCATGGCCTGCTGCATACCTGGAGGACCATCGTAAGCCTGTTTTAAGCCTGGTTGATTTCCCATCCTGAAAATGATTTAATCAGTGGTAGTGGATGATTTGAAACATGATTCGTCTAGCCATCTCGTTTTAATATTGTTTTGCATAAAGCATTACTAATTGTGCTAGAGTGTTAAAAAGCACACCAATTTTCTTAAGTTTCACAGAATTAGTTGTACAGAGTTTCTAGCACAAGTCATTTCTACATCGGCAGATTGCAGTTGCCGAAACATGCAATTATTTCGTCAGCGTAGGATCAAGGAGAAGCAGCTGTTTATAAAAGACACTCCTCTCTCTTTCAGCCTCTGAAATAAGAGCCCAGGGAATACAGAAAACGACTGCCCAAAGAAATAGCTTTTTTAAAAATAACTAGCCCATTCTCTGGGGTTTTTACAAGGCATCCGAGCCCAGAGACAAAGCTGGAAGGTGCTGTAACATTAACTAATAATTATTCCAAGCTGACACTTATGTTCTCCCAGCTGTGCTTTACTGTGATGGATAAATGAGCTTGAGCTAGCCCGGGCTCTTCCATTATGACTTTCCATACCTCTTTGGTCTGGGGCCTACCTTTATTATGTAGTTAATTTCCACCAACTGATGGGCACTCATCACCCTACTGACTGTTTAGCCAGAATTGCTCCCTTAGTGTACAGTTTACACTTTTATCTATCCTGTGATGAAATATGTTGTGGTGGTTTTAGAGTGCCCACTGAAAAGTCACATTTTGAATATTGTGATCCATACAGTCCCACATACCTCTTCCTTTCATGTGAATTGGAGTGGAGGGCTTATTAACTATTTAGGTTATTTATTCAAATCACAGTATTACTAACAAGGGTACACACCAGCTGTCAGGACCAGTCTGCAAAAATAACTTGGACAACAAGGAGGGAACCAGTCTAACTTCCATAGATAATAATATTAATACCTTAATAATAACACTTTATTTGTATTCCGTCCTATCTCCCCAAGGGGACTCAGGGCAGATTCCTGCATATACAGACATATTCAGACACAATACAAACATTCAGTGCTTCAAAACAATATTTTTTCGTGTCAGGAGTGACTTGAGAAACTGCAAGTCGCTTCTGGTGTGAGAGAATTGGCCATCTGCAAGGACGTTGCTCATGGACACAGATACACAGATCAAGGTAAAGCCTTCCCCTTCACCTCCAGCTCTAAGGGATGGTGCTCATCTCCATTTCAAAGCCAAAGAGCCCGTGTTGTACATAGACACCTCCTAGGTCATGTAGCCGGCACAACTGTATGGAGCGCTAGGTGGTACCTATTGATCTACCCACATTTGCTAGTTTGGCAGAAACTGGGGCTAACAGTGGGAGCTCACCCCATCTCATGGATTTGAACTGCCAATCTTCCGGACAGCAAGTTCAGCAGCTCAAACGGTTTAACCCATTGCACCACCGCAGTGTTCTAGCCATAAAAGGGCCATATCCAATGATTCCAGTAAAATACACTATGTAACAATATTTGAAACATTTTCTGTTCCTGGTTTGAAAGTGTTATTCCTGTTTAATTGTTTGGCACTTACTTTGAAAGTCGTTGTTACACTCCAGAAACTTCATTTTTGTGGCTGCCACAAACTATGTTAAATTAGTTGCGACTCTGTGACATATTCATTGAAAAACTATAGCAAAATGTGCTGCAAGATGTCCTGCAAAAAACAAAGTTTTTGCAGTTTAATAAACTTTTTCCATGTCTTGATTATAGAACCAATTAGGAAAGGACATTCATAGTGTTATCAAAGTGTGGGAAGCTAAAATAAAGGAGCCACATTGCATGGAGCCTCAGAACGATGTTAGTGAACCAGAACAACAATTTATTTAGCCCAGTGTTTTGTTTCCTGCTTGGACAGCTGCCAGTGCTGAGTGCTGTGAACCCAGACATTCATGCAGCAGCCAAGGCAAGAATGGCTATTCCCCTGACAATCGTTTCCAGCAAACTCCAGACTAGGTGAACTTGGGTGAAACTTAGTGAGTCTAGTACGATTGTAATATAATTCCAATACAGTTGAACAAGTTGAATACACCTACATGTCTGTAGCACAAAGGTACAATTTCTGCTCTATTCCTTCTTTACTCTGAGAGCTCAAAATGGCTGTCCAAAAATGTTCTTCATTTGCTAAGAGAAACCTGTAAGATGATGGAGAAGTACATATACTAAGCATTTCCAAGGTTTTGTCATGATGTCTACGAGAAGTCATTGTCAGATCAGTATCTTATTTTAAGCCTTAGGGGTTCCTTTAAAAGCCTAACTCTTTTTTTATTATTGCTTATTTTACTCTTGCCTTCAGAATGACAAGAGACATGTTTCAAACACAGATTTTCTTTTATCTTGATGATGCAGGTGTTGGAAGAGATGTGGAAGGGGGAAGGGAAGACTCCCACTCTGATTGTGAAAGAAAAGGAGCTTGAACTGATCAGAGATCGGAATGAGCTTGAGCACATCTGTCAGGCTGTGATGGGAGACCATCAGAACGAGGTGATATTGATAGCAACCCCAAGAAATTGGGAACAAGAGGCTTTGACACTTCAGGGTGGGCAGTGGTGATAAAAGATTTAAATTGCCATCTTCCCTTCAGATTGCCATTTTTTTTTTTGTTTGGCAACTCTTTAGAGGAAATAGAAGAAATTACACTGTGACATGTGAAGTGGCTGCAGGAGACAGCAAATGAGCTGAGATTTAAATCTAAATATTCCTGGCTTTGGCAGCCTCCCTCTAGCTAACCTGAATAGTCCTTACAGATAGCAGCAGAACAGCATCTGCCTGTAGAAAAAGAATAACTTCTATTTTTATAAGTAAAGTATATACTCAAGTATAAGCTGTTTTTCAACCCCCTTTTAGGCTGAAAAAAAGCCCCTCTCGGCTTATACTTGAGTTAAGATTATTTATTATTATACTCTGTTGTTGTTGTTGTTGTTGTTGTTGTTGTTGTTGTTATAAAATTTATTATTTTACTCTATTTACATTATTTTACTCTATTATTTTATTACATTTATTATTTTATTCTATTATTATTATTGCATGTATTGTTTTACTCTACTATTTTTATTACATCTATCATTTTACTCTATTCTTATTATTATTATATTTATTATTTTGCTCTATTATTGTTATTATTACATTTACATTATTTTACTCTATTATTCATAGACTCATAGAATCAAAGAGTTGGAAGAGACCTCATGGGCCACCCAGTCCAACCTCCTGCCAAGAAGCAGGAATATTGCATTCAAAGCACCCCTGACAGATGGCCATCCAGCCTCTGTTTAAAAGCCTCCAAAGAAGGAGCCTCCACCACATATTATATTATTACATTTATTAATTTAATCTTATTATTATTATTATTATTACATTTATTATTTTACTCTATTATTGGAAGGCTACATAAGCACATTTACATTGAAGAAGGTTAGAACAATGGCTTAATCAGAGTTGGGTAGTCTTATCTTAAATTGCAGTTTTATGTAAATATTCAAAAACATTTAAGCTACTGGTGCCGCAATTAATTTTATTGTATTGGTATCTATTTTTATTTTTGAAATTTACCAGTAGTTCGTGCATTTTCCATCCTCAGCTTATGTCAATACATTTTCCCAGTTTTTTGTGGCTTATATTTGGGTTGGCTTATAATCGAGTATATACGGTATTTTCATGTACTTTCTACAACACGAGACAGGAAAGCAGTAATGAATGGCTTACATTAAGTGAAATGCTGCCTGGGTACTCATGCAGCCGGAAAAATCCTAACATCTATCGAGAACTATTCTACCTACGCCCACAGCTCTTCAGTGCTAGCTAACAGCTTTGCAGAGAGCTTTTGATAACGAAAATGAACATGCTCTAGGTCTGCCTGACCTTCATCATGCTAACTAATTTGTAGTGGCTGATGAAAGTGCCTCTGTATTTTTCCAACTGGTACTGAAGTGCAAGCACAGAGCGGCTAAACAGTAGAAGCGATCAAGGAGTAGAAGAGGAAGAGGCCCACCACTTTGGATCTTGTTTTGATAATGACACAGATTGTGCGACTTTTAATTCTTTTTAACTAATATTCTGGCGAAGCCAGGCATGAAAAATCAAAGTCTGTTTTGATGCTGCATTCTCTGAACGACAGGCGTTAACGTTGCCTGGGAACCCTTAGTAGCTTACACTCCTATGAAATCTTAATGATAAATTAGCACTTTCCCAGCTGATAAGTCAAAGCATGTGCCGCAATGCACTTTAGCATTATCAGCATGATCGTGCAAGGCCTATTCCATGACCGTTAGCACAGTATGCATTCCACTGTTAAGAACAGAATAATAGTCATTATTTTTGCAAGGAAGCTGCTGTGTGCAGCTTTAAGTCTCAGCAGCCCAAAGTGTGACACAAAACGTAAGTCCCTCATTAGTGTTTGGGAATGTGAAAGATCCTTGTGCATGGGCATTTGTATACTGACAATCCCTATGTTACAAATTACTTATAGTTAAGAACCAGGATGAGACAACAGGAAGTGAGAGCAATCTACCCCTAGGAAGGGAAATCCACTCCTGAAGAAGTTATCACGTGGAAAAAGGATTTGCACTGAAGCTTTATCACCAATCCTTGTTTCTACAAGCTAATTTTTCAAAATGCAATTATCACAGGGACAGAAAATGAGGTGAAATCTTCTGAACAGGGCACAGAGAGCAAAACAAACACCATAGGACTGTTAACCCTTCCCTATGTTATCCAAAGCATGTGCACATGCGTACACACATTCACACACACACACATGTATGTATGTATGGCTGGAGTTACACTTAAAATGCACCTAGAATCATAGAGTTGGAAGAGACCTTGTGGGCCATCTGATCTAACCATTCTGCCAAGAAGCAGGAAAATTGTATTCATAGCACCCTGGACAGATGGCCATCCAGCCTCTGTTTAAAAGCCTCCAAAAAAGGAGCCTTCACCACACTCTGGGGGAGAGATTTCCACTGCTGAACAGCTCTCACAGTCAGCAAGTTCTTCCTAATGTTTAGGTTTCCTTTCCTGTGGTTTGAAGCCATTGTTCCATTGCGTCCTAGTCTCCAGGGCAGCAGAAAACAAGCTTGCTCCCTCCTCCCTATGACTTCTCCTCACATATTTATACATGACCATCATGTCTCTCTCCACCTTCTCTTCTTCAGGCTAAATATGCCCAGCTCTATAAGCTGTTCCTCATAGGGCAGACCCTTGATCATTTTAGTTGCCCTCCTCTGGACATATTCCAGCTTGTCAATATCTCCCTTCAATTGTGGTGCGCAGAATTGGACACAGTATTCCAGGTGTGGTCTACTAACCAAGGCAGAATAGAGGGGGAGCATGACTTCCTTGGATCTAGACACTAGACTCCTATTGATGCAGGCCAAAATCCCATTGGCCTTTTAAGCTGCCACATGACATTGTTGGCTCATGTTTAACTTGTTGTCCACAAGGACTCCCAAGATCTTTTTCACACGTACTGCTATTGAGCCAGGCGTATCCCATTCTGTATCTTTGCATTTCATTTTTTCTGTCACAAATGCCTTTCTTGCATTTGTGGGTCCGAGGAAAGAGAGGATTTAATACACTTATCTGTTACATTGCCCTTTGTATAATGACCTTCGAAACAATCTTCTGGGAGCCCTTTCAGAAGAAAGGGCAGCATGTTAACAGTCAGTAGTTATCTGTGACTTGTTAGCTGATTGTTCCAAAAATATAACATTAAAGGTAGCCACATTTGCAGTTGCAGCCCAAAAAATCCAAGCTAAATTGGTAAACTCCACAGCAGAGGCTAGAAATGGAAATGGAGATAGTTTGGGATGATACAAATCAGACATTTGTGATTGTTCTGATGTCACTTCTATAATTTTAAAGACCCAATATATGGAACAAATTTTAATGTTTATATTGGAAACTGCTTATTTTTAAAGGTTGTATATTATGTCATGTCATGGCCTATGGCTAGTACAATAAACAATTCAATTCATAGTTGTATATACCTGTTCCAACTTACATCCAAATTCAAGTTAAGAACATACCAGCAGAACCTATATTCATAACTTGGGGACTGCCTATATAATTCTACAGGAGCACAAAGGATTTTTTGTTTTGATACCACAATCACCATCAACTCAACACCTACCATAAATTGGCACCTATGTTTTATGTGGCTTTTGCAGTCAATGAAAATTTAAAATGCTAACCGTGGAGAAATATGGCATTCTTCTTCCACCTCTAGTAACATCAAGGTGCGTCTTGGGTGTCTGAAAAGCAGTGCTTCCCAGCAGCAGCAGCACTACCTTGAGGAAACTTAACTTGGTTCCCCAGCAACAAGACAACAACTGCTTATAATTGGATATAGAAATCATTTGAATAAGCTCCTTAGAGTTGGCTGCTCTGTTGACAGAATGTGTTTCTTGCTTTTTCTAATAAGAGCTTTTTAACTGGGAGAGTAAATAATACTTCGAATAACAAATAGAGCTCTGTTATTTTAAATATGAAAGCCAGGATTTTGAGTGTAAAAAGAAGACACGTTTCCCACAGAGACTGTTTGGGTATTGTCAGGCCTTTAAGTAGTCTATACTCCTCAAGTGAGCAAGTTTCAAGTCTCCCTCTCTCCGGCACACAAAGTCTAAAAATGACTTCTTATTGAATCAGGTATTTGCAACTGCAGCCCATGTGCCATCGAGCGCCACAACTTAATCATCCTGCCATCCCATTCTTGCCCGTTCCCGGAAATATTGTTGGGAAGCTGAATACCCTAAAACAGGGATCACAAACTTTTTAAACAGAAGGTCAGGTCACAGTCCCTCAAACTGTTGGTGGGCCAGATTATAATTCGAAAAAATACACATGAATTCTTATGCACACTGCACATATCTTATTTATAGAGCAAAAACATTTAAAAACAATACAATAATTAAAATTAAGAACAATTTTAACAAATATAAACTTATTAGTATTGCAATTGAAAGTGTGGGCATGCTTTTGGCTGTTGAGATAGGATTGTTGTTGCTATTGTGTGCTTTCAAGTAGTTTCATACTTAGGTTGACCCTGAGCAAGGGCCGGGTAAATGACCTTGAAGAGCCGCATCCAGCCCCCAGGCCTTAGTTTGAGGACCCCTGCCCTAAAGGGTAAAATTCCACTCTTGGAAGCAGCAGCAAATTTCTTCGTTCAACCCCTCAAACAACAAAATCTAGAATTTGAAACGGGAAGTCATTTTCAGTCACTTCATTGCCAGGAAGCCAATTTTCAGCTAAGTTGGGGTTTTTGTAGTTTATGATAAGGATAGTAAGACATCAAAACATCTGGGCGTCCCCTGGGCAATGTCCTTTCAGACAGCCAATTCTCTCACACCAGAAGCGACTTGCAGTTTCTCAAGTCATTCTTGACACGAAATAAAATGGAAAGTATGTGGGGACTGAATTGAGTCCTCACCATAATCGTCCATTCTATGCGTTGTAAAGCCTTCTTGGACCCACTGAATAGCTTGCTCCCTTCAAAAGCTGAGGTGGTTAAACTAGTCAAAAATCATATGCAACATCCAAACTTCACAATACACTAAACCAGACATTGGTAAACCCAGCCCCGGGGGCTGAATGTGATCCCTTGGGCTCTTTTCTCGGGCCCTCCTCTCTCACACCATCCTATCCTTCCTTCCTTCTCTTTCCTTCCTCGTTCCCTCTCTCTCTCCCTTCCTTACCTCATTCTCCTTCCATCCTTCCACCCTTTTGTCCTTCCTTTCTTCCCTCTTTTGTCCCTCCTTCCCTCTCTCTCTTTTTTCCCCTTCCTTCCTTCCCTTCCTTCCTTCCTTCCTTCCTTCCTTCCTTCCCTTCCTTCCTTCCTTCCTTCCTTCCTTCCTTCCTTCTCTCTTTCCGCCCTCCCTCCCCTCCCCCACCCTCCATTCACTTCCATCCTCTCTTCCTTCCTTCCTTCTCTTTTTCTTCCTCCTAGAGGATGTTTAGTTGTGAGAAGAGAAAACACAAGAACTATATTTCAAGATTTAAAAGAGTGTCCCATTGAGGAGGTGGGGGGAAGGGGAACTGATTTTCTGCTGCTCTAGAGACCAGGGCACAAGGGAGCAATGGTTTCAAATGGCAGGGAAAGAGATTCAACTGGGAAAAAAATTTAGGAAGGACTTCCTGGAGAGTGGCATAGACTGCCTCGGAGTGTGATTGAGTCTCCTTTTCTGGAGGCTTTCCCACAGAGGCTGTCTATCGCGAATGCTTTGATTGTGCTTTGTTGCATGGCAGGGAGTTGGACTGGATGGCCCTTTGGGATCTCCTCCAACTCTAGGATTCTAGGATTATATATTAAAATTAGGCAATATGGGGTCTTATGGATACACTTTTTCTCTTTCGTGCATCTCATCCTGACCAAGGCCAACCCTTTTGGGATCCAAACGTTTCTCATCTTGCCTTCACTTTCTCCCTCCGAAAGAGAAGAGGAAGGGGAGGAAAGGACAGGGAGGCAGCTTGGGGAGAACCCCCTCCCCATTCTGGCCCCCCATGTGGCCCCCAAGTTAGAAAGCTTGCCCATGCCTGCACTGAACTTGACCAGTATGCCATCTATCATAATCCACATATTAAATTGTAAATGCTTTGGGCTAAAAATAAACAGGGGTGCAGTGTGTGCAGTTGTTTTTAACCTAGCCTTGAGATATTTGGTGTTTTGTGCAGACTGTGATGATGATGATGTTTAGATCCCGCTTTTTCTCTCCTCAAAGCAGCTTTACCCAAAATAAGGAGTGCCCTTCAAAACAAGAAATGTGATCAACTAAAAAATAACCTTATTTTAATAGATTGATAACCTTGGTTTTGTTGTTTTTTCTCACTGTAAGAATGATGTAGCAGCAAGTCTGTTCAGTGAATTTTTATATGATAATATTGATCAAAACTGAAAGCATCTCTTCTCTTCACTTTTCATTTTTTGATTAATTTCTCTTTCAAGGTGGCAGAAATAAAGAAGGGAAACCAAAAAGTGATGAATAAGCTCATTGGGCAGGTTCAGAAAAAAACAAGAGGACGAGCAGACCCTGCACTGGTGAAAGAAATACTAGAGAAACTGCTATCATAGGATCTGGAGTACAAATGTACCTTTCTTGGCATCCTAAACAACATTCAAATGGTGAGTATTAAACAACTCTGTATCTTTAGCAATCAGGCTTCAGTTTGAAGTTTGCTTCCCACATCAGATTATTGGCTCTTCTCCTTCTTGGAGAGCGGGAGTGACATCACCAGAGACCCCGCCCCTCCTTTTGGGGTGGAAGAAGAGGAGCGCTGAAAGGAGAAAGGAAGGTGTTGTCAAAGGTTTTCATGGCCGGAATCATTGTGTTGCTGTGGGTTTTCCAGGCTATATGGCCATGTTCCAGAAGCATTCTCTCTTGATGTTTCACCCACGTAACACCTCACTACACAAATAGGCAAAACAATCCAACTATGGTTTGTGGTGAGCTCCCATGTTGGTATTCCAAACAAACCAAAGTTTCAAAAGAAATGGATAGAAAGGTAACAGTATTTCCCCTTTCATCACTCATGAAAGGGGCTATGTATAGAATTTTACAGTAAGAGAAAAAGGCTAAATTTGAGGTAGCCAATTTCTCTCCCAGAAATGGGATTCAGTCAAGATGGGAAAAGGTGACAAAGGGGGGATCTTGGATATGCAGACCAGTTTTTCCACAAATGGAGGGAGAACAGTTCACTGTCAAAAGAGGTCTTTCCACTGCAACAACAAAAAGATCTGCTACTCTTGCTGACTTTTGTCATTGTTCCAATCAGTAACAAGAGTGTTAATCTTCAGACATATTTTTGGACTGTTGAAAAATTGAAACCAGTGAGAGGGAAGGTTCCTCTGTCCATTGTAAGCCATACTGTTTTGTCCTGTAGGATTGTTGTATAAATCAGTTATTTTCATATTGCTACTCCATTACATACCATTATGCACACTGTTTTGCACACTGTAGGACATGGGGAGAATTTCTCTTTTCACCTTATTGACATTATAGGCTTTTTGTTAAAAGGAAGACATGTTTTTTCCTTCCTTTGAGCAGGCTTAAACCCGTAGCTGAGCCATGGAGCACTCCTGTACCCATACTCACTGTTTGTACGAGGTTTATCCGGAAAGTAAGGTTACAAGGCACATAGCTCTTGCAGGGAATTCTCACGGTGAAAGTTGGTATCACTGCCATGTAGCGGGAAGCCAGCAGAAGCGAACGAGCAGTGCCAGTCGTCAGTAGCTCATCAACTGGAGTTGTTGTGAAGGTTAGAGATGAGCATCTTAATTCCGTATCCCTCCAAGTGCGAAGTTTACGCTGTAATACACTACCTAAATGCTAATGGCATAAAGGCTGCTGTGATTAATCACGAAATCGTTTCAGTTTATGGAGAGGACGTAATGTCAAGACAGCATGTGACAAAATGGGTACGAAATATATTGTGAAACGATGAAGAAACTTCACATAGTCATCCAAAACAAACATTGTGAGATGCTGACGGTGCGGGTTTGTCTCCCTCATGACAATGCGCATCCGCACACCGCTCATGCAACACAAGAGTTGTTGACTTCATTTGGTTTGGGATGTTTTAAGCCACCCGTCACAGCCCCGATTTTGCACCCAGTGACCATCATCTGTTCACTAAATTGAAGGAACACCTTGGTGGAAAACACTTTTCCAATGATGATGAGGTGAAAATAGAAGTGACGAACTAGCTGAAATATGTGGAGGGAAACTTCTATGACACAGACATCAAAAACTCATCCCACAGATGACAAAATGTATTGAACTGTATGGTGATTATATGGAAAAATATGTAATGCCTATGCTACAATCCATGTAAGTTTTATTAAAATACGTATATTCATTCTTTGTATTTTAAAATAATCTTGTAACCTTACTTTCCGGATAACCCTCATATGTTGTTCAATTTTAACTACTTCCAGTCATCCCTCAATACATTTTTATGCTAAACATACACACACACATGTCTTCTTTGATAAGAAAATGCACCTTTTCCAACGTGCTGTTGCATCTACAAAAGAATTGGTGTGCTGTGCCTTAGATATGTCTTTGCTACTCTGTAGTTCTGTTAGCAATCATCAATTGGGTGGTGTGTCCTTGAGATTTATATCAAAACAAACAAGGCAGAACACTCACTGCAAAGATAAAAGCTTTTGAGTGAAAAAAAAATCCCTTGTATTTAAACGTCACAATTCTGTATATTGCAGGGGAAATCTACTATGAGGCTTTAAACAATGGAATTGTTTGACATCTGGAACTTTCTCTAACATATGACCACTTCATCCACTTCAGAGAAGCAATATTTACTTTTTGAATGAGTCCAAGAGAAGTTAAGATGTTCCTCTCAATAGATTTTAGGTGTTTCAAGTTTTTACTACCATCTAAAGATTGTATCCTGGTATGTCAAGACATTAAGGAATGTTTTTTTTTTCAATGTTTAATGAATAAAAATTGTACATAAAAATAACTTTTTATAAGCAATAAAACAAACATTTGTTTTGTTCAGACCATCTTGGACATTTTTTTACTTTCCTCTTTTAAAAGTGAACTGTGCATTCATATTGAAAACTGAACAAAGGCTGCATTCATAAAGTACAGATACACATCTCTATGAAATAAGCTATTGTTATAATTCAGCAGATGATAGTCATGGTTCTGTACCATACATTTTGGTCAGAGTAGGCAGCCACTTAGCTTTCCTTTGTTCTTTGGAGGCTCAGTGGGACATCAGTTCATGTGGTGGCATCCTGTTGGGGGATCCCAAGTAGATTCATTCAGTCAGTTGTGGAATAGTGAGTCATTACCATTGATTCAACAGCTCTACCCTCGTCAGAACTAAAAGCAGGAATCGGTCCATTGGCTGATATCCCCGATAGCATAAGCAGGTATAATTCTACCTTATGCCTGCATGTGTACATCATAGTTGTTGCAGAGCTTGCTCTTCCTTTCAGAATAATTGACGCCCTCTTGAATGTTCCATTGAGCCACTGCGGCCTGCCATTTGCATTCCGTTGCCTGATGTGATATGATTCCATCATCCACTTGTACCAATGGATTTCAGTGGGATGATGAAATCATTCCGCATAGGCATGGCCAGACAAATTCTCCAATCTTACCAATTGGGGGACTGCAACAGCTCAGCAATAGGTTCTGGAGGTTGTTAAATGGCAGGCTATAGCTACACTGTGGCAAACAGAAATATGGCCATTGGCAGTTAAATCCAGAATTTTTTTTCTTAATTTGTTATCAAACTCTTCTGCTCCACGTGACAGCTCCAGTGATGTACTTCTCTGATTCTTTTGCTTTCATCACAATCAGTGATTCATCTACAATAGTAATGCATTCAAAAGTCTTTTCTAGAGGGCAAGGAAGCCCTCTTGAGTAGGTTGTTAACACTATAGAGAGGAAAGAGAAGAAAGTTTCAAATCAACTAGTCTTAGATAGACAAATAGATCACTGGATGCTGGTCATTAGAAAGATCATTGGACATAGAGGCAATATGTGCAGTTGCTCCCCAATGTACCGCCGTGGCTCAAACTCCAGCTGATGCTAGTCTGTGCTTAGAGACAAATGTATTAGCATTGGTAGTAAGCTACTCAGGGCATGATTTTATCCAGTTGCTATTACAATATAAATAAAAAATATTAATGGAAAATTTGGAGAATTGTGTGCTTTATTGGCTCTTGTTCTAGGTATTATTTTGCTGTAGACCAGTGGTTCTCAATCTGTGGGTCCCCCGGTGTTTGGCCTACCACTCCCAGCAATCCCAGCCAGTTTACCAGCTGTTAGGATTTCTGGGAGTTGAAGGCCAAAACAGGGGACCCTCAGGTTAAGAACCACTGCTGTAGACATATACAATACATGATAATGATTTATACTCTAAGCAGTTTTGCGGTTTTCTACTTGGTTATATTTTATAGAGATCAGGAACCTTTGGTCCTCCAGCTGTTTTGGATTCTAGGTTCTATCATTCCTTGCCAATGGCTGTGCTGGTTGGGATTTCTAAAAGTTGTGGTCCAGAACATTTATAGGATCACAAGTTCCCTGTTCTCATAACTGCTTATGAGGCTGTTAAAGTTGATTTGCCCCAAGGAAATGGGAAAGTATTGTTTCCATTCGATTTTGAAGTTTTGTCTTATGTCTGTTACAACAGGCTGTGTTTTTTATGTAATTTTGGTTGTTAAGTCATAATTCGTGTTTATATGTTGGGTTGTTTAAATTTTGTTAGTATGGATGTATTGTTGTTGTATTTGGGCATTGAATGTTTGCCTTTTTTTTTGTTTGGAATCCACCCTGAGTCCCTTCGGGGATATAGAGCGGAATATAAATAAATTAATTATTACTACTACTACTACTACTACTACTACTACTACTAAAGTTAAGATCAGTAAGACTTCCCCTACCAAAAAGGTGAAAAATATCAACACATCATAATCCTACCAAATTACTTGGTAGGATTATGGAAGGCTTGACGAAGCCTTCCATTTTCTTTTTTATTTTAAGAATGTAAGAAGTTAGCTACCTGTCTGTCTTACAAGAAAACCACAAGTATTCAGTGTCTCTTCAAGCAGTGAAACTTCAGGCTCCCTACTTTTTTGCCTCTAGCAAGTTGACCGATGTAAAGAAAAAGCCGCCTGTGTTTGATAGATGGTGTGCATGCACAGCCATACATTTCCATTCTATTGTAATGGCTCCCACACCCACCTTCTGCAGGGTAAGTAGAGCTGAATTAGAGCTATTGTGCATGACATTTAGTGAAAGATTCATTCCATTGCCATTGTGCACGTGCGAAGCATAGTGAAGAAATCTAGTATTCAATCATACCATGGACTTGTTTACCATATATTTGTATTTAAATTGCCGTTTTAAATAATACTATAGACTTCACTCAAGGTACTTCATTCCTGTAAGTACCTTATTATTAAAACCGTTTTAACGTATTGGAGTTGAAAATTAACTTTGTAAAAAAAAAATGTGCACCCTTTTGACAAATAGGATCGGTAAGATTTCTAGGCAGGTTTGTTTCCCCTTTCAGTGTCATTACTCAAAGGATAGTGTGTTAACAAAGAAGCCAATTTTGAAAAGCTAAGGACACACACAAAAAACACCCTACACGCTTTGAGCAAACACTGAACAAAATACGATCAGAAGCTAAGAGCTTGCCATTATGGCTTTGTGAAAAGAAAGTGTTTGCTTGAGCATAAAGCTTGCCGGGAAGACTCATTTACAAGTGCCAGGAGTTTTTGCGTTAAGATGGAGAGTGGGAAGCTGGTTTCCAATTGTGTTTCTAACTTCTGTAGAGGTTACTCACCTCAATCGCATGGATCTTCTATCTTTAACTGAGTGAGATGCCATTGTTAGTACGATTTCTGCATCAGGGTGTCGGAAACAAGCTCTTACAGTTGCTTAAATCAAGTCAGAGTCTGTGCACTTGGTGAAGACTACTGCAGGTATGAGATGTGGGCCTCATCATGTCTGGCTGAAGAATCTAGCAAGATTCATTTTTGTTTGTTTTTTACAAGGATCATTAAATGCATTTCAATCACAGGGCAATTCCAATCTTTCTTTGCTTAGATGATTCAGCAGTGTTTTCAAGATGCATCTGGATCACTGTCATCTTTAACTGTGGTAGAATTCTTTATCTTTCACATAGAATATGCAGGCTATCTTTTTTTCTGAAAAGAGGCAGAAGTCTATAACTGACTGGATTATTATTAGTCATATATTGTTATTTTCCCGGGGGGTTTTTTTTTTCGTGTCAGGAGTGACTTGAGAAACTGCAAGTTGCTTCTGGGGTGAGAGAATCGGCCGTCTGCAATATTGCCCAAGGGATGCCCAGATTTTTTTTTGATGTTTTACCATCCTTGTGGGAGGCTTCTCTCATATCCCCGCACAGGGAGCTGGAGCTGACAGAGGGAGCTTATCCATGCTCTCCCCAGATTCAAACCTCCAACCTGTTGGTCTTCAGTCCTGCCGGCACAAGGGTTTAACCCATTGTGCCACAGGGGTCTCTTGTTAGAGAATAAAAATGTGTAATAGGTAACCTATAGGCTTGGTTGATCAGAAAAAATGGTTCAAAACTAGTTTTGGATGTGGGGGGCGCTGGTGGTTAGATTCTAAAGTCACTTCCGATTTTTAAAAAATTTCAAAACTTTCTGAAACTTCTGAATCACTTCGTTAATGGCAAACACGCATGCGGAGTAGGAAAAAAACCAGAACCAGCACTGTGGAAAATTCAGGGGATTCTCCCTCTCTCACTTTTAGGCCAATCCTGATGAAACTTGCTACAGTGGTAGAACACATGGACCACTGTTAGCTCACCAAATTTCATAACCTTTGACTTATTCATGGATTTTTGGCGAATTTTCAAAATCTTTATGAAAGTGTTATTTCCTGTTTCATTGAGTGCTTTACTTTGAAAGTAGTTGCTCTACTCCAGAAACTTTGTTCATGTGGCACAAACTGTGTTAAACTGTCGAACAAAAATCATAGTACAGACCCCATCAAGGGACATCTAGATTGACCCTTCTTCTGGGCAGAAAGGCGCTATCCAAACTCTCCTGACATCCATTTGCTTCCTCTACTGAGTTGGAGGGGACCCTCAAGACACATCCATCCATTTATTCCTATTTGCAGACACAATCGATCATTTTATTTTATCCTTACTTACTGATGTAAAGGGCTGGCTGGCTGTGGCTGGCTACCCCAGTGCCTTGTTCATGGCAATCAGGCCAAAGTGAAATGATTGGTTTTTAAGCAGTTTAAGTTCTCTTGGCTTTGCAAAAGTTGCTTATTGCTTTGCTGCTTTCTTTAGACACCTTTGTAGATTCAATCAGTTTATTTTATTTTTAGACAAAGACTGCTACAGATAGCTATAGCATTTTTGAGTCCTTCAGCCATTTTGGCTAATGAGCAGCCAGAAGTGTGGGAAATGTAGTTTAACAGCAATCTCTACCATTGGGGGCCTGGCCTTCACAAACTACAACAATGGCTGTGCTTCACTACGCTCACCTCATCCCTCCTTTGCATCACCGGGGGAGGGAAAGCATGGGATTTTAAACCCTTTTAGGCTTTACCAAAGTTGATTAATGGCTGTGAAAATTAAAATAACCTTGGGAGACATCTGAACATTATGGAATATTTCCAGGGGAAAAAAGTAAGTGATTCAAATTTGGATTCCCCCCCCCCCCCCCAAAACCTTTCCTGAATGGTTCAAAACTGCTTCGGAAGCCCAAATTCGGAAGTTTTCTTCTAACTTTCAGGCTCTTCTGAACGAACCTATCCAAGTCTAGTAACCAACTTCAGTTAAGCTTGGCTAAAGCATCCTCTTTTCAGCAGATGTAGGAGAGCTGGCTGTAAAAATGAAATTATGTAAGTGGATGATTAGCATTTGAGTCCTAACAATACCATTCCACTGCTGATTATATTGGCTCATTTAGTAGTTTCAACATGGAAACTCCAGTACTTATAACACTTTCTTTCTCACCTTATTTGGTAGACGGGTAATAGGAAGGCTACTGCAGCACACTGGGAAGTAACCTGCACTATTCCAAAGTCTCTGATTTATTATCTTTGAATATCTATACATGCACTTACTAGGAGAGCACACATAGAACTGGAAAGGTTGCATATCATGAATATAACACCCACTTCTCAAATTCATTAAAGAATACTTTCCTTGAACTACCCAGACTCTGTCTCCTTTTAGAGCTATGAAATCTTACCACATACTTCTGCAACCATTTAGTATAATATGCTGGCAAGGAGGCTGCCCTTGAAAGATGGCACGGAAACTGCAGCTGGTGCAATATTCTCCAGTTCACCTTGGGAATGGTAGGCACTGCCTGTGATTTTCAACAAGCTTGTGCTTACTTTCAAAGCCGCTTTTTATGAACTTCATGGTGGTTTGTGTGTGTGTGGAGTGACTTGAGAAATGACAAGTTTCTTCTGGTGTGAGAGAATTGGCCATCTGCAAGGACGTTGCCCAGGGGATGCCCGGATGTTTTACCATCCTATGGGAGGCTTCTCTCATGTCCCTGTGTGAGAAGCTGGAGCTGACATATGGGAGCTCATCCCACTCCCTGGATTTGAACCACTGATCTTTCGGTCAGCAGTCCTGCCAGCACATGGGTTTAACCTATTGTGCCACTGGGGGCTTCACCACTTCATGCTGGTAAGAAAAATTACATCAAATCTTGCTCCATATTTGTTCATTCTAATGAGTGGAAATTGGCAGCTACTAGGAATGGCATTAGCACAATGAGTCTGAAGCTATGACATGACCTGCAAAGGACTGATGACATTGTAGAACACTGGTTTGAAATACATGACTCTCCAAATGTTTGATTAGATAATCTATCATTCTTCAATACTGTTTATGCTGCTGACAGCATGTAGGAGTTGCAATCCTAACAGCAGATAGAGGGGCATATATTCCTTATCCATGTCATGGAAGGCACACTTAATTCCTTCATTCTGTGTGGCCTCTAGTAATTAATTTGAAAAGGACAGCCACAGAATGTCAGTGTTTGTATGTCATAGAAATGCCAATAATGGAAGTCTATGCTTCCATGGTACGCTGTTTGCACTATCCCATGCCCAGCCCCCCCCCCCACACACACACACACATTTTTCTAGCCTATTTAAAACCTAGAT